ATAATAGTTGATATATGTAACTGTAGTTGCAGCTCGTTTCCAGGTGGCTTGATGAACCTTGAATCTCGGCCAGATATAGAATTAAAGGGGGCCCGAATAGGCATATAATTATAAGCTCCTCATGGTCCACGATATATATACATGTATATTAAATGTCAACAAAACGTTTTCACAATCGAAATACATGTAGCGCGGGAAGTCCCTACGGTGACTGGTCAAATTGTTCCATACGTAAAAATATCCGGCAATAGCAGTCACCTGTACCAAAGTGCTACGCTTATTGTTCTTATAATTTTAAATATATACAGTGAAACCTGTAACTAAAATGACACAATATTGGAATTTCTTCCGGCCATTGCATCAAATTATTTTTTTATACGTACATGTACGTTGTTTCATCTTCAAATAATAATATTCTTTGACTTAACTGATCTGAACTAGAACGTAGATCTAGTACATCACGTTTGGGAAGATTTCCACGGGGACCGGCAACTAAATGAGATCATTTATCGCTTTACTAACACCGTTAGAATTTGGCACAGTTGTCTAATTTTGGTACGTTAACATGTGCTTTTCATGTCTGTTTGAAGGTGTGCTTTTAAAAACAATGCGTTTTTTATTTTTTTACAAATTTAAATCTTTATTCACATTTCAAATAAAAATACAATGTGCAACATTTCAACAATTATACATTATTCAAAATCCATTCCCTTTCAAAACATATTGTGAATATAGACAATCACAAAATATAATATCATACTATTATTCTTTCCTAGGATTGAAAAGTCTGTGGAAGGCAGATACAGAAATCTGTATAATTGCAATTTGAGGAGGCAATTAATTTGGTCATATTGTAGTATCTAATTACTTCATGTTGAATATATTTCAACTTTACCTGAAAACCCTTTCGTGATTGTTTAAACACAATACATTTGATGAGTAATACAACTACATTGAGAGAGTTGTCTCCCTTCCACAGATGTCGTTAACCAGTTGAGAACAAGCTCCCACGTCTGAGCAACATATTCACAATCATAAAATCAAAAACAATAATGTACATACAGTTGAGTACGGGAATGGAATCTTTTACAGTGAGAAAGCTGTCAAATTGGATCCAAGACTACACAGCCTTTTATAGCTATTTTAGCAACACATATCATTCTCGAATGGTTCAATAAATAATATAAATTGTAACTGCACACAATATATAGATAACAGATTTCTGAATGACAAAAGGTTTTCATTGTAAATGTAATAAGGTGTTGATGTTTTAAATAGTTTTCATTATACTTTTATTTACCCTGCATGATCTAAATTATCAATTACTTCGATCAATACAGTGTGATCTACATTCGTATTTAGTAATATTTGATTTATTTTGTATCCTTACTCAAAAATATTACATGTAAAAAATATATCTTGTCTGAGAGAGTGAGTCAGTGAGTATGGTGTAATGCCGCTTTTAACAATATTTAAGCAATATCACGGCTGTGGACTCTAGTCTGAGAGCAAGATGAATCGATTCTTGCCTTTATTTAAAGGGATTTCCTAACAATTCTGGATTATATTTGTTCCCTCCATATGATGTAGTTTAGCTTGGCCAAAAGGGAAAAAAGGGAAAGATATTATTACTGAACCGACATGGCTACAATGTGTGAAGCCCATTTCTGGTGTCCCCTGCCGTGATATTGCTGGAATATTGCTAAAAGCTGCGTAAAACCATACCCACTCACTATTATTACTGAAAACCACTTGTTAACGATGTTGCTAGTTTTATTTTCATAGTTCACTACTAAAAACCTATTCCATGTATATTGATTGTATACATTAGTTCATTGATCTACGGTCATTATCTATTTCAAATACAATTATCATTTATAAAAAGAAATATGAACAAAAAAGTGTTATTTCACGGATTGGCCATACAAGTATATTTTGCGCAAATGTAGGCAGCCAAGTGAGAAATATAAGAGAATGTGTTTCCTGGTGGTCTTTGTGAAACACATTTTGTTGGGTTTTTTAGCACATGAAGAGTATATACAGTGAACAATACAATACAATACAACACAATGTAATGCACTACAATACAATACAAATCGAGGTAATTCCTATTTTCGTTATTTTGTCTTTCACGTATCCTCGATATTGATAATAATTGTACTGTAAGAACAACAATTATTTCTTTCACCTGTGTAAGTTCCTGGTGTAATTTTTGTTTTCATAAATGAGATATTAATATCAACAACACATCATAACACACGAAGTATGAATAAGCGATTTGCATGGTGCGTGTGTGCGCCCGAGTTAGGGCCAGTCACCGATTTTGCCTACGTTTGCGTTTGCGAATACGGTCTGCGTCTGCGATTTTAAGTATCAAGTGATATTATGTCATGTTAAACTCACTGACAGCGCCAATGTGATTGTTAGTTGGGGACTGGTTTGCGATATATCAATCAGGGGGCTTTTAAATCGCATCGCATCATATATCGTAGCCATGAAATCTGAATATAAATCTTGATTCTTAAGACACGTGAATGCGGCCATGTGACCTGGATATTCCTTGCAGTTCTAAAACCTCATGTAAAAGGCCATACTTTAAAATGACATTAACATGAAAAGTCGTGAGGGTATTGCAGCAGCTGTTGACATGGAAGCTTGCTCTCTACGACCACAAACATCATGATGACAGAGATTTGGATGTTGTTGCCTTTGTCCAACTGTTAGCAACAATGACAGTGGAGCTATCTCATTTTCTTCTAACTATTCTTTCAGCACCGTCAGCATATTGAGGAACCCAATTTCGAATTCAGCCAAAATCGCTGACGTAAACATCAGTTTTCGACGATCGCAGAGACAAACGCAAACGGAGACAGTGATCGGAAATAGCTTTGTTGAAAAGATTTGCTGCGTATGAAAACCTTTCAATCCATAAAAGAATCTATGTTTACTTACTCCTGTGTGATCGTACGATAGAATAAACATTTTCATTGTTAGTAAAGAATAAATTATGTTCGATATTTGGTCATCAATTTGAGTATTGTTTAGGTTATATAGCCCAATTTACTTTTTGTCCTTTGAAAATGTTGGATGTCAATTTCCTCGAATTGTGGTTATCACAAATGAAAGAGAACCGACACTGAAACTGATTGGAGGTAATCAGGTTTTTATCAGGTTATATGTTTTTTAATTTAATTTTTCCATTGGACGAGAGATCTGTCACATGACCGCGAAATTGCCGTTCATATGTGTAACGATACAATTGACGTTCATACGTTTTTCACGAGACCGTTTTCTTGAAATGACGTAAACACTGACGGACGACTTCCACATTCCTGGGGAAACCTCTGGGAATTCCCTTGCAAGAATACATACAGAAGCGTTCTTTCTGATCATTTAGAGCCTTTAATCTTAAATTCAGCGTTTCAGTATACATTGAGCAACGTCAGAGGGTTTGACTGCATGAACGATTACGAATATCCTCGCTACGACCGAACCTTAGTGAAAAAAACGAAGACATGCACATCCACACTATCGAAGTATCGACTCGATCCGTATCTGGGCTGACAGTGACCGTCTATAGCAATCTATGGCTTTACCTTAGTGTCAGGATATCTAATCTAAACTGTCATTCGTGCTGTAACATACTCATTGAAGCAGTCTGCGTATGAACTAATCACGACCACCGTCAATTTCTTTTACGTCAAAACACTGAAATTTAATTTGGACTTTTTTTCGATAAATTAATCTCGTGGACAAACCCCAGTGAATGTATACTTTGAAATAAATGTCAAATGCCTATTATCGATATGATATATATTTTCAATGATATGAATTATTTGCCAGTTAGATTTCAAACTCCTGCGCTTGGTTGACTTCAGTTGTCACATAAGGGCATTTCCATATTACGATTAATGTAAAAAAGTACCAAACCTAGAATAGCGTTACTTTCACCGTTGGCTAGTTCCGTGCATGTATCGTTTGAATTTGCTGACTTTATATACCGTTGGAAAGAGAATCAACAAGAGATGGATGTTATACAGGGTGAGAAATAAGAACGTTGTAACGCTTTGGATACAATGTACGACGTCATCACAATACGGCACTGAGCGGTATACACAGTCAGCTGACGGCCAAGCACAATGAGGTTTAATTCAACCCCATTTCACCTCACCTTACCTCACCCCTCACCTCAATGATGTGTCACCTGTGGTATGTTGTACATTTACATCGGCTCCTGCCATAAGTAACATGTGAAGTCATTCTTTCGATCCACTCACTGATGCTCTATCGACTCGTGTGACGTCTGTGTTATTATTTACATTTATATGAACTCCGGTAACATATCAAAACATCATTTCTATTCGCTCCTCGATGTTCATGAAGAGGTACATAACCAGTGCACAACCTTTTGTCACCCACGCATAATGTTCGAAGAAGCAGGGTGGCCCCATTGTTATTCTGTACATTCAAAATAGCTCCAGCCTTCAGTAACATATCAACATACTTTTGAGAGCCACTCCTTAATGCAGAGGCGTGTGTCGCTTGTGTTTGTTGTGTAAGTTTACAACAGTTCCGATTTTCAGTAACATAATAAACTCTTTCGATCCACGCATTGCTGCTCCATGCACCTACGCATAATGTTCCAAGAAACAGTGTGGCTCCCTTGTTATTCTGTACATACACATCAGCTCCAACAGTCAGTAACAGGTCAACACACTCTTTCCATCGTGACATTGATGCGCCAAGAAGTGGTGTGTTGCTGTGTTATTCCGTACATTCACACCAGCTCCAGCCTCCAGTAATATATCTACGTACTCTTTCTATTCCTGTATTGATGATCCATGGAGTGGTGTGTCGCCTCTGCTATTCTGTACATTGACCTCAGCTCCAGCCTTCAGTAATAGATCAACACACTCTTTTGATCCGGGAACTGCTGCGTGATGAAGTGGTGTGTCGCCAGTGTAATTCTGTACCTTAATATCAGCTCCAGCCTTCAGTAATAGTGCAACACACTTTCCATCCGGGAAGTGATGCACCATGAAGAGGTGTGTCGCAAGTGTAATTCTATACCTGAATATCAGCTCCATATCAACACACTTTTGAGATCCTCACCTGGATATGTTAAGAAGTGGTGTGTCACCTTGTATATTCCGTACCTGTGTATCAGCCCCAGCATTCAGTAACAGATCAACACACTCTTTCGATCCACATAATGATGCGCCATGAAGTGACGTGTTCCTTGTTGTATTCTGTACATTCACATCAGCCCCAGCCTTCAGTAACAGGTCAACACACTTTTTCGATCCATTCAATGATGCGCAATGAAGTGGTGTGTTTCCTTTTGTATTCTGTACATTCACATCAGTCCCAGCCTTCAGTAACAGGTCAACACACTCTTTCGATCCATACATTGATGCTCCAAGAAGTGGTGTGTCGTCCTTCACTTCAGCCCTCACTAACATATCGACACGCCTGTGAGATCCATACCTGGATGCGTTATGAAGAGGTGTGTCGCCTTTTCTATTCTGTACCTGTATATCAGCCCCAGCCTTCAGTAACAGATCAACACACTCTTTCGATCCATTCAATGATGCTTCATGAAGTGGTGTGTTTCCTGTTGTATCCTGTACATTCACATCAGCCCCAGCCTCCAGTAACAGGTCAACACACTTTTTCGATCCATTGTTTGATGCGCCATGGAGTGGTGTGTTTCCTATTGTATTCTGTACTCTCACATCAGCCCCGGTCTTCAGTAACAGGTCAACACACTTTTTCGATCCACTATTTGATGCGAAATGGAGTGGTGTGTTTCCTTTTGTATTCTGTACATTCACATTAGCCCCAGCCTTCAGTAACACGTCAACACACTCTTTCGATTTATACCCCGAAGCTGCATGAAGTGGTGTGTTGCCTGTTGTATTCTGTACATTCACATCAGCCCCAGTCTTCAGTAACATGTCAACACATTTTTTCGATCCATACAATGATGCGCCATGAAGTGGTGTGTCGCCTCTTTTATTATGTACCTGTATTGCAGCCGAAGCCTTCAGTAACAGGTCAACACACTCTTTCGATCCACGTTTTGATGCTCTATGAAGTGGTGTGTCGCCTGTTGTATTCTCGACATTCACGACAGCTCCAGCCTTCAGTAACATATCAACACACTTTTGAGATCCAGACTCTGATGCTTCATGAAGTGGAGTGTCGCCTGTCTTGTTTTGTACTTTTACATCAGCTCCAGCCTTCAGTAACATATGAACACACTTTTGAGATCCACACCCTGATGCGTTATGAAGTGGAGTGTCGCCTGTCTGGTTTTGTACTTTTACATCAGCCCCAGCCTTCAGTAACAGATCAACACACTTTTGACATCCACAACTTGATGCGTTATGAAGTGGTGTGTCGCCTGTTCCATCCTGTATCTGTATATCAGCCCTAGGTTTCAGTAACAGATGATCACACTCTCTCGATCCACACGATACGCCAGATGTTGTATTCTGTACATTCACATCAGCCCCAGCCTTCAGTAACATGTCAACACACTCTTTCGATCCACGTTTTGATGCTCCGTGAAGTGGCGTGTTTCCTGTTGTATTCTCGACATTCACACCAGCCCCAGCCTTCAGTAACATATCAACACACTTTTGAGATCCACACCCTGATGCTTCATGAAGTGGAGTGTCGCCTGTCTTGTTTTGTACTTTTACATCAGCCCCAGCCTTCAGTAACATGTCAACACACTCTTTCGATCCACACATTGATGCTCCATGAAGTGGTGTGTTTCTTGTGTTATCCTCTACATTCACTGCCGGGATGTCTCTTGTCTGTATATTGGAATTTATGTCAGCTTTCTGCTGCCTGAAAACGTCTTCTTCCTCTTCTCCGTGAGACGTATGAAGCTTTTCAAGTAAAAATAAAAGAACTTCGTGGCTTCCTCGCTTGCACGCTGCGTGCAGTGTAGTATTTCCATTTGGAGCCACCATGCTGACATTTGCTCCTTTCCCCGTCAAAACTCTCACGACATCCAGCTTTCCACTTTCACATGCTGCATGAAGAGGGAGTTGTCCGTCCTTCGATATCATATTGACTGTCCCCCCTTCATCAAACAGCATCTTAACAATATCCAGATTCCCACTTGTACATGCAGCACACACTTCGTCGCCACTAAGCTCAGCTCCTGCTAAGAGTAAAGTCTTAACAATGTTGGTATGTCCACGCGTACATGCTGCATACAGAGGCTTAAAAGGGTTATCGAGAGAAGGAATAAGTCTTCTTACGTCCAGCAAAAACGTTTCTGTTTCCTCCATTCCTTTCAAACATGTCAAAACCATAGAATCATCATCACCTCTATCCGGCACCAGTTTTTTGTAGCCTCTGAGACAAGCCGCATCTAGAGGAGACGTATGATAGTTATCCACATTTACTGCTGCTCCTCTATCCAGTAACAGTTTCACTACGCCCTTGTGACCAGACCAACACGCTAGAAAAAGTGAAGTTTGACGCATCTGATCTGTAACATCAATATCTACACCCTTGTCGATCACATACTCCACAGCTGACACAAGACCATGTTCACACAGGTAATGCAACACAGTTTTGTCATATCTGTCAGATGCATTCAGATCAGGATGAAGGCGAAGTATCTGGTGTACAAAGTTACAATCTCCAGTCTCAGCTGCCAGCATCAGCGGGGTCTGCTCACTGTGTCCGTATGTAGCATCGACGTCCAGTTTTACATGTTTTGTCAGATATGTTAGCACATTACCTGTAGCATGTTTGCACACACCCAATAAGATCTCATCTATCTCCATCTGTTGCAGTGTAATGTTTCCCTTCTCCAGTATGTATTTCACCATGGTTGAAGATTTGTTGCTTGGAAGCAACTCCAAACAGGATTGTAGTGTTTCTTTATCAGTGTTCCTCAGAAATGTATTTACAGATATTTGATATTGTACATTCAGTATGTTCATCAGTTTATCAATGAAGTCGGGATCACAACAGACTTGGTGTGAGATTACATATGCCAAGTTGCCCAGCTGAATCTCCAGGGCAAATCTCTGCACCAAGTTGTCAATGCAGAAAAGTGGGATGTCTGCAACCAACTCTTGGTTTTCAACAGTCCCATGCCTCAGTCGCTGGTTGATGAATGAGAGACTACAATTCTCAATGACAAATACTGGATCTTTTTCAGTCAGAAGAAATGCAACACTGTCATAGATTGATGGATGGTCAAACATGTATGTACCATCTTCCAGCTTCAGATATGACCCAACAAGCTCATTGGCAGATGAAACACAGTCATGCATCTTGTATTTGTCTTTATACAATTCAGACTGAGACACTTTCCCATCTCCTTGGATCATTGCCTTCAGGAGTTGACCCTTTGATTTATTGTTTATTAATTTCTGCAACGTTTGGTTTAGAAATACAAGAGGACTCGCGAAAAACTCCTTTGCTGATACCTTGGGATTCTGTTTAAAGGTTGTTGCAAAAAGTCTACAGACATGTGGAAACCCATGTGGACAGTCAATGTGGCTCAATTCAAACATGACCTTTTCCTCAAAGTCAACACCTTCCATTCGAAAAATTGATTTCAAAATATTCAGTTTTTCTTCATGACCTCTGGTTGGTGAGAGTTGGACAAGATGTTTACTACTTGTAAGATATTCTTTCACTCTTCCAAGGTCTGGTAAAGAGGATTTTAGTACATAATCACGTCCTACAAGAATAAATAAAGACTGTTTCTTTCTATTTTGCTCTGGATTGATGTCAGTTGACGCATTCAAAGCTCCATTCAGCTCTACGTCAGGCTTTTGCAAATCAAGAATGGGCCGAAGAGAGGGTCTCCACTTGGTCCACTCTGCAACGTCAAATTCCAGATCACCAAATATATCATCCAACATAATCACCGGGTTGGTACAAGTCCTGGTTACCTCATTGAATTCGTCTGGGGACACAACTTGGAATACTTGTCTCCCTTGGCTGTGCAGATCTCTGAGGGCCATGTAGGCCACTGTAGACTTCCCCTCTCCTGGTCTTCCCTTTATTGTCACCCATGTTGCTCCTCTGTCAATCTTCTCCATCACCTCCTGATGTGCCTGTGTCTTAACCATACCTTGGGTCCATGACTGTATCCTTGATTCTGTTCGTTCTGAAAAACCGCAAAATATATTCGAACTTACAAATCTGATAATCTTTTCAGGCCTGATATCCACTAAAATACTTTCCAAACTTGCTGTACTATGTGATAAGTTATTATCTGATCAAACAACGGATCAATGTGTCATGTATTAGTAAATGAGCTACGAATCAGTGGTTAAATCGCAAATGTGAATCTGAGATTCACTCTCATCTATAATTGAAATGTAAATTATTATGTAAAACAATTTTGGAAATAACAAAAGCTTTTCTTCAAGACAAAACGTGTTTACTTGATGTTACTTTTCATATTTACAATAATTGTTTTTAATTTATCTCATTTTCCTGACATGTAATGTATATTTTTAAGATTGAAAGAGTAATGGTTCAGAATTTTTGAAATATAACATGATTGAGAAATGGAAACTTTTCAAATGAATTCGCTGTATATTGAGCAGCCATTATATTGCAGCGTTTGGTCTGTTATCCCTATCTAACTATTGCTGCACTATACTTTCACCATGTTAATGCTTCATGCTTGATGACTAGATTGTATCTATCATTATTTTCAAGGCTAATGTCTGATGGCTATGCTATTTCTCTCATCATGTAATTCATGCTAATGCTTTATGACTATAATTGGGAGGAGTTGTTATCCTCTGGAACTCACTCCTGATCTTCTGTACTGTGGTCAGTGGTTTCTCTTCGTCCTCCGATTGACCAGTGTTCTGCGTTGCGCTGAAGATCACATTCGTCACATCTCCAAACTGCTGAACCTTATACTGAAATGCTGTAATGTAAAAAAACAAATTTGTCAGGTCTACTTCCTGATGAGAAACCCTAGTCTTCTCAAATTCTGACAAAACCGTGCCTGCTGTATTTAATGGCCTTGCACTATCAAAACCTCTTGGACTGGGAAAATCAACCCTCGACCTATCCTGCGTCATTTCTGGTGTACTGAAATGAACAGAACGGCCACCCGTCATGATGCCGTCTGGTAAAGAGTGACCCAACAACCGATAATCAGCGTTCCGATGTGCAGGTACATTATAGCTTGACCCCAGATATGTATCCCTGCCAACCTGTCCACTCCTTAAACCGACAGCATCTCCTACAAAAGGTAGAGGTGTGTACGGTGTAGATGTAGGATACGTATTTTGCCGTATTTAAAACACAAAGAGTGAAGTTTGATTAAAAGTTTATTTAACAAACAAACACAAACAGGGGCAAAATCCTTCTTTACTCTATAACCTACGTAATCTTTACTCCTTCCCTACCTACGTAAACCCATTCAACCTTATTAGTTAAACTTGTTCTCTTAACCACCCCTCTAACTTAACTCCCAAAAGTAAAACGTCTATAAAACAAACCTATTTAATACCTACTTTACTTTTCCCCACCCCATACCTCCTAATCTAACATCTCAACGAAAGCCCTATAATAAATAATAAAAGGACGCAGGAGTCGACCGTGCTTACCAGGTACTGGTGAGTGACGACTGACAATTCCCTACCCAGGGTAGGCTTAAATAAGGCCAACACGCGGACCATGTGACCAGGAAAACGGACACAACAAACGAACACGCTCCTTACATCTCGGCTCTCCCAATCATGGCTTCCGCCTAGCCGAGCATGCAAGAAGCGTGGCATCATCACGTCTTCGCAGCCACTACGCCCGCGTGGGCATAAGCTTCTACACAAGGACTACAAAGGTAGGTACTACGTCAGCCGTTTAACTCCCCCTTAAACTAACCCACCCACTACGTTCTGAAATATATATATTTACCCACAATCACCCCCAGTCAACCACAACAACAAAGAAATATTCTTGTTGAGTCTATTATTGATTTACTATGAATACACAATGCCATTTAGAATGTGGTCAAATGCAACAAATGTTATATTTGGGATGACACTTTCTCAGTAAAGTACAGATTCTCGTACGTTTTTGGGGGGTTGAGTCCCGTCCGGGGTTCGAACCCACACTTGCCAGAGTGAGGCACCTAATCGCCAGCACACAAAGTCAGCAATCTAACTCACTCAGCCACCGAGGTTTCCACAAAAATGAAAGTCCGACAACTGGTAGTCTAGATCACATACTTTGAGTACCCCTCTGACAAGTGTAAATTGGCACGTCTCCCATAGCCAAAAGCTATGAATACACAATGCCATTTAGAAGTGGTCAAATGTAATAAATTTTATATTTGGGATGACACTTTCTTAGTAAAGTACATATTATCGTACTTATTTTGGGGGGGGTGAGTCCCGTTTTGGGTTCGAACCCATACTTGCCAGAGTGAGGCACCTAATCGCCAGCACACAAAGTCAGCGATCTAACCCACTCAGCCACCGAGGCTTCCACAAAAATGAAAGTCCGACAACTGGTAGTCTAGATCACGTACTTTGAGTAGCCTTCTGACAAGTGTAAATAGGCACGGCTCCCATGGCCGAAAGCTATGAATACACAATGCCATTTAGAAAGTGGTCAAATGTAACAAATGTTATATTTGGGATAACACTTTCTTAGTAAAGTACAGATTCTCTTCCATTTTGGGGTTGAGCCGCGTCCGGGATTCGAAAACACACATGCCAGAGTGAGGCTGAGTGGGTAAGATCGCTGACTTTGTGTGCTGGCGATAAGGTGCCTCACACTGGCAAGCATGGGTTCGAATCCCGGACGGGACTCAACCCCCCAAAAAGTACGAGAATCTTTATTTACTAAGAAAGTGTTATCACAATGTGTGATCTGCATTAGCGCCGAGTGGATTTATTTGTAATTGTCAACCATGAGTATAATTGGTACTAATTTAATAAACCTGTGAACATGTTACCACGTTTTCGTTATCACTGTAGTCTTATTCTATGACACCCCTGATCATTGAGCACAGACTGTGACACACATATTCCAGCAGAGAGGTATTATATATTTGTATTTCACTAACTGATGTGTCCTTTGTTAATGAAGAACAACTGAACATTTAGAACTTAGAATATACCCAAATAGTGTATTAAATATGCTCAGTATTCTAAGTTCTAAGTCTACGGATGAAACGATTATGTTTGACTTCTCAATTATGTCCGAAAATATAAAAATATGTTTATGCAAGTTGTCCCTAGTTAACATATGGGAAAGAAGTGCTGAAATACATACTGTTGGTGGTGTTATTCCCCATACCACCCTCAACAATAGCAGCCATATTCTGATGATGCACATGATCCCCTCCTAAAAGCAAACAAAAACATCAATTTATATCACCAAAAAGTAACATGTTTCTTCACATGATAAACACTTGGTGAAGAACAACTGAACATTTAGAACTTAGAATATACCCAAATAGTGTATTAAATATGCTTAGTATTCTAAGTTCTAAGTCTACGGATGAAACGATTATGTTTGACTTCTCAATTATGTCCGAAAATATAAAAATATGTTTATGCAAGTTGTCCCTAGTTAACATATGGGAAAGAAGTGCTGAAATACATACTGTTGGTGGTGTTATTCCCCATACCACCCTCAACTATAGCAGCCATATTCTGATGATGCACATGATCCCCTCCTAAAAGCAAACAAAAACATCAATTTATATCACCAAAAAGTAACATGTTTTTTCACATGATAAACACTTGGAATGTACATAATACTGGTTATGTAATTTGAAAAGAAAAATATAAGTGAAGAAATATACAGGATCATAAATGTAAAGGCAAATATACACTACCCATTAAACAGATTCAGATGAGGTAATGACCAAATGGCTTGTTCTTTCTGGTACAAAACGTTTATAGTGCTGAAAGTATGGTTACCTGTCATTGTTATGTTGTCGGGTACTGTGGTTCCATCGCCCCCTCCTAAAAGCAAACAAAAACATCAATTCATATCACCAAAATACAACATGTTTCTTCACATTATGATGGCTTTCATAAACACTTGGAATGTACATAATAATGGTTATGTAATTTGAAAAGAAAAAACAGTAAGTGAAAAAATATATAGGAAAATAAATGTAAAGGCAAGTATAAAAGACCGATTATACAGATTCAGATGAGGTAATGACCAGATGGTTGGTTCTCTCCCTCCTAAAAGCAAACAAAAAGGTTACCTGCCACTGTTCTGTTGTAGATTACTGTGATTCCATCATGTTTTTGTTTTGTTGTCATCCTTCTTTCACCAAGGTGTCACAACTGAAATACAAAATATTGAGTGAACTATTTGAAACTAAGGTTGCTTATTTGTTGTCTTACTCAGAACACAGCAATATTCCAGATATCTAATGGCGGCTTGTAAATACAAACCAGTTGTTGATATTATGCCACAATTCGTCTGGATGCAATGATAATCAACAACCAAGTCACCAAGGATGTCCTATCGATCCATTTGGTCAGAAGACTTTTGGGAACCTTTTCTAACCTGGAATTGAACTACTCAAAAATAAGAAATATTACTCGAATAGTGTATGTCATGCGTCTACCAGGGCTCGATTTAGCTATATAACACATGCAGCTGTGCAACATTTGAAAAATGCAACCTATATTAAATTATGTCTACATGCACACAGTGCGCGTAAGATCATAGCATGTTTTGGCTACAAAACCATGAATTGTTCACACAGCAGCGCCCTCAATACCTCTAAGCTATAGTTACCATACGACATCACTAATCCATGTGTAATATATGTGGTATAGTTTGGTATGCTTATTTCTTGTGGACATATGCACGTTCTAAATACTTTTTACAACCATACAGCATGAATTTATGCAACACTAGCAGCAGTACTCAAAGTACTACGTAAGTGTTGTTGCAATATCGCTGCGCACCAAAATGATCGGGGGATGGGGGGGGGGGGGGGGGGGGGGGGGGAGTAGTATTCATAAACCTTCTTAGAAACCGCACCATTATGATGTTGTCGGTTGAAATGGCAAGCTGGATGTTCTGGAGGCGATCCTGCCAGAGTATATTGCTAAGATGTTGATGTGCCATGTGCGCTTCATGTCGGACCACATCCCTGAGGCCGCTGTTCCTCTACATGCGCACCCGAACCCTGAAGAGAGGCGTATACGAACAGGCGTGAAGTTGGTGATATTGGTAACTGTCGTTTGCAGTGCCTCGTGTTAAACTTTTCGAGGTTGCATGATCAGAAAACACATTCAGACATTCGCTTTCATGATCTCGTAAGCGACACTCTGTTTGGTCGGATACAAGGTCATTCCGACGTCACCTGTTATAAAATGTCCTCAGACCAAAGTGTAGCGGTAGAGAGCGCTAACATCTGAATTTAATGATATTGGTGTTGTTGCTTCAACTTTCTTGACTGGACATCATGACACGCCAGAAGCAAAAGTCAACAACTACATTTTTCTCCGTTCCAACTAGCTCTTCAGCTGTTGCAAAATGAATCACAGGGCAGTCAAAGGAGACACAATTTATTAATAAAAACTTCTTTATTTTACTGTAATTGCGACAAACTAAAGGTGTATTTTATAAATTGGACTGTAAACCAGTAATCAAAACCTACTCAATAAACAAATGCTCCAAATTACTCCAAATTGTCAAACTGTCGATACTCTTAAAAAGAAAAGAAACGAAAAACAAATATTTTGGGCAATAAAAGCAAAATAAGTGGACGAAGAAGTGCAAATTGAAGAGGTCTAATGTGTTACAGCGTCAGTGACAAATTTCCCGGATCAAAATGATCACAACAAGGACATGCAAACCATTAGTCGGGAGACATGTATCATTCGGACAAACGCACCCAGTGCATTAACAATAGGGCCATGGTGTTGCACGCACTTCATGCAGCTACATCAGAATATTATTAAGAAACAAATATATGCCAAATTATACACTCAAAATGCACCTACATAACGAAGGCATTACTTTCCTAAAAAGGAACAAACCCTTTTGAACATATACCAAACACTTATACAATCTAATTAGGTCTGTGCCACGCTCCGGTATTAAACTCAATATCAATTATTAATCATAATAAACCAAGCTCAATACAATATGAAACACTTAACTAGCCATGGAGACCTGGTCCTACCAACACACAGTGCTACTACTACTACTACTATCAGGCTCCACCTCAAACCTACATAGAAGACAACAAATGAGCCTCAACTACTCGGCTAGGACCTAACATGAAGATCGTTTTGTCATTATTTCATAAAGTTCATGATTCATGTCAACTACATAATCTGACAAATAGGCAGGTGATCGACGGGGCGTCCATCTTGCGAGCGTGACCGTGTTTAGGCAATAATGCCGTTTACCAGGCACATCCCGATCTCCACGATCCAACTCCCCTTTTCGGTCTTAGGGAAACTTACACGTCTTTTCGATCCAAAACCCAGGGTTCACTCAAGGAATTTTCTGACATGGGCCTTTAATCTGAAATTTCATATATTCACTTGGTACACCCACACTTGCCCATGCAGCACAATGTTAAAATTCCCCATTGTATTTGAAAATGTGGGCCTTTTTTTTCAAATTTTAGGGGCTAAAAGCATCCCAGCCTAGAATTATCCCTGAACACCCAATTTCGGTCTTAGGGAAACCAACACGTGTTTACGATCAAACACCCCTTTTCGGTCCTTAGGGTTGGTTAGCTTTGCTTTGGGCAAGGGTTAGCCATGCATTCTTAACTTTTCAAAAACTTTAATCCGGTTTATTCGATTGGTCGGACCCAGAGTTCCATGCGACCAGCATAGTACCTCTCCCACAGGCCAGCGCCATGTGACGATTCGTCACATCTTCCACAGTCCATTCAAGATATTGCATTTGTTTTTCAGCGATACGGTCACTTTTAAGTGTAAGTATGTATTGTCATGAAACTCACTGTTGCAGTTGTAGTAGCATATTTCTATAACTATGCAAAACAATATGTAAAGCGCCCCCAAATACTTTAATACCAAATGCATTAGTCCGTTAAAGCGAGTTTGTTTACAAACAAGAAAAAGTCCCGTCACGTGATATGCAAATTAGCCTGTGGAAGTGGTGTTATTTATGAAGTCACCACTGCGCCGGAGTGTGGCGGGTGTGGTTTCAAGAAAAGTTGAATGGGAGAGCGGACCGTGACGTCACACGCATGCGCAATTCATTGTTTACTTAATTACGCATGAGGGTCAATGGGGTGCTTATGACCCGTTAAACGAGCACTGATTACACGTGATATCCCTCGTTTTCCAGTGGTAGCGCGTCGACCAATTAGATTTTATACCGGTACAGATTCTCCCCTGGCCATGGAGAAATTCCAAGTATAAATGCACAAATGTTCAAATTTCACACTTTTAGATGCAATTATTTCCAGAATTCTCCGTGGCTTAGCAAATTTAAAATATACATTATACAAACAAAAGAGACACACTGATGGCAAATGCCAACAATGCAATTCACCCAAGGATCTAAACCATGCATACTGGTGTCCCCTATAACATGCTCACCATCCTCGATTTTACCATTCTCTTCCCGTACACTTTAAAATGTTCTGCCTATACTCTTAAGTCCAATAATCTTCCGTCAGTCTTCATATCAATAACAAATTTCATTTAAAAAAATGCCATCTATCTATCTATCTATCTATCTATCTATCTATCTATCTATCTATCTATCTATCATTTCCTTATTATTTACCTATATATCATTACTCTGAATATTTACCGTATTACCACTATTTTCCATACATACTAAATAGAATACATCTCCTCTACATCCATGTCAAGTACTTATTTAATATCTTGTATATAAGTAACAACTTCTCTGTAACTTAACATATTACTTAAATGGGCACTACCTTAGGTTATAGTTTTTTGGTCCAGGTGTGTTATATCTTTATTCACTATAATTATATATTATTCCTTAAACCCACCTGTACCCATGTACGAAATTGAAACTTTCTGAAGTGGACGTAAAGCACCTAAATGATGACGCTTGACAACGGTGTGAGGACCTATACCGAAACGTTGCTATTACAGTGAAATAACGATGTTGTTATCCATAAATTGTGTCCATTTTGGTCATCCGTCAACTTCTAAGAAATCAAACAAAACATCACAGTCGTAATTCTGTAGGCAGCGGTGGAGACCCCTGTTTGTTCAAATGCGCCAGTTTCGTCTGTGGTCAATAATGCTGGCGGCCTAGATAATATTCGGCGTTCTGGAATTACACAAAGTGTAGGAAATAGTGACTGAGTTACGTTTAACGCCGCTTTGAACAATGTTCCAGTTATGTCGCGATGCCTGAGCTGGTTTACCACGCTGGACGAGTACAGGTATGGTGTTGACAAACCTAGAAATATAATCGGGGAGAACCCGGCTTCGAACCAAGGATCATAAGAAACAACAGTTAACATTGTTAATAAGTCTATGACTACTACCTCTATTACATCATTGCCAAATTAGTTTTGCAACTGGTTGTGGATAGTTTACAGTGGAGAGGACTTCTGTTGAAGGTAAAAAGAGACAGCCGATATACAGGACTACTGTCAATGGTGTACTTGAGGTAGGGAATTTAATTTTTTAACAATGATAAATGTTGTTTAAAAAACGCCGCGATTTGCTGTGCTGAGTTGCGTCTCTTGGGCACGCCAGAAACCTATGATTGTGGGTTCGAATCCCGTTTCGCCCCGATTATGTTTCTAGGTTTGTCAGCACCAAACCGTGCTTGTGGGTTTCACCGAAGTTGTAAACGTCTTAGACCTGCATAACTTCGGGTTTTCCTCTCACATTAAGCTGACACGCCGTGATAAAACTGGAATACCGGTACTGTAAAAAGCGGCGTAACTCCTTACCAACAACCGTTATGTGTTCAGTTAGTGCATATTGATGACGTAGACGGTGCGTGTCCAAACATTGATAACATCTCCTCGATATATATTTCCTCGATTTCACTCGATACATATTTGGAGCGGCAGCAGCGCACATTACTTTCATGAAAGATTTAAGTATGACAATTCATGTATGGAATATGTGTTTTATACCGTCCCGTTGACCCGCAATAAATCTTCAGCAACCCATACTTGCCGTACGAAGCGACGATGCTTGTCGTAAGAGGCGACTAACAGGATCAGGTGATCAGGCTCGCTAACTTGGTTGATGCATGTCATCGTATCCCAATTGCGTGGATCGTTGCTGATGATGTCAATCACTTGATTGTTTGGTTCAGACTATTATTTACAGACCGCCGT